CCTCTGGAGGAAGACACACTGCTTCTCGCAGTCTATATTGAGGACTGTCAACCACGGAGAAGGATGCCCCTAAATAAAATGCTCTCGAACATAAATAGAGTCAATTAGTATTTGATTTAATCGCAGCATCACTGCTCTGCACCAGTTATTAGCGCCATCAAGAAACTAACTTCAGTTCTTCTCACAAAACCCGAGAAAGTAGCGACACGGAGGCGACGGCACCACAAAGGCCGAGTTGGACCAGAACAGAGAAGGTAGTGGAAGAGAATTTGTCACGTTGCCCATTTTATAATCACTCATTGGCTTTTCGTCTAGTGCCACTCTGTTGGTTAAGGCAAATAATTTGAGTGTATGACAACAGAGTCATTGTAGATAGGAAAACAAGAGAAGTACATTTGTGCCCCCCCCAAAAAATAGGGCAGAAATTTACTTCTGCCCGCAAAAGCGATTAGTCTCAGAAATCTTCTAGAAAAAAAACAATGAGTTTGAAAAGCTAAAAATCACAGAGTTTTGAATTTCAACTTTTGTCCAAAAGTAAAGAAAAAGAAGCATTTTTTATTTTGATTTTTGACTCAGAAATGTCCATGTTTCTAATTTTAAACTCAAAATTTCAGTTTGTTTTTTAAATGGACATTTACTCCATAGTTAAAGTTTAAATTGTCATAGTGAAGCTGTAAAAAGGCACTAAAACATAACTCTGGTTTAAGCCCTCTCTCTTACCGCCTTTAAACTAAGACCGTCAGTGCAAAGGTGAGTCTCTGATGTAAAGTTTCTGCTCCAGAGGTTTAAGCAAAGGGAATCATTTCAGCTTGACTGACATTTTCATTCCACTGTCAGTCAAAGGCATGATGGGTTCTGAACCTGGCACCATGACAGGATCCATCATGCGTCTCGATTGGCAGGAAACAAGGATTTGTTGGAATGTAGATGTACGTTTTGTCCATGAACACCATCATATAGTAAAAAAAATGTTATCAAAAGTGTGGTGTATTTTCTATTTCTCAATGGTTTATAGAAAATAAAACATAAAAATTGCAGTTATACTGCTCATTGTCAAATGGCCAAAGTATGTATGACATTTAAAAACATACTTTTACCAGTATTCATCAGCACCTGTACATTTCATTAATTTTGAATTTCATTGAAAAGTTTTTTTTTTTGTTTTTTGCTTGTTTTTTTTTTTTGTTGCTCATCTCAGAAAGTGAAATTTATGTGTCATGTCGACTCCATACATGTAGCGACACATGCTGTTTAAACTCTTTTAACCAATACAAATTGACGCCATCGTTCCCAGCAAAGTAGTAGAAAAAGTCGAGTGGAAGGAAAACATGTGGTGGGAAAAGTTTCAAGTTCATGCCAAATATTCAATGCACAGAAATGAGGAAGCTTTATAAAATATCCTCTTTTTTTCAGAAAAAATGAATCTCACTTAAGATTTAAATTTCTGATGCACAAAATTTGGGGTTTCCACTACCTGAAAGCCATAAAAATGAGAATTACAAGAAATAAAATCTCATATTTCATTATCTATAATAAATGTATATATAACACCATTTTATTAAGTCATTTTTTTTTTTGCCAAAAATATAAAAAATGAATAAAAGTCAAGGCTTCTTTTTTTTTTTTTTTTGCAAAAAGATGATTAGGCAAAATAAATAAATCACTTTTGGCAAAAAAAAAAAAAAAGAAAGAAAAAGACTTAAGCCATTATTTTTGAAAGGTGATTATGTGCTATGTTAGTGAAACAACATTTTTTATTACAGCATTGATGTACAAGGAGCATCGTTCTCCTCCCTGATAATCTCTATAATTCTCTCCAAATGTGGTTACGGGACGAGGGGCCAGTCAAAGCCCCTATAGGCCATTTTGCTAAAATCACCAGAACTCCGTTAGCTCAGTTCACACACAGACATCAGTCTGAAGCGGCCTATCGGGCACGCCGAAGCAGACGTCCCCTTCTCTCTGCCACAGCAATAAACAGTCATCAATGGTAAATGACGATGCATCTCAAAGGGGATCCAAATCCGCCTGACTTCAAACACAGAGTCCTTCGACTTTGATGTGGTCTGTCGCTGCACCACTAACCATGGGGCGCTGCTTTTACACACAGGGAACGCCACATTCACTAGTTAGCAGACTCATGAATGTCATGCTAAACAGTTCAAAGTACGGATGAAGTTAATTAGTCATCTATATTTTAAATTTTCTTGCCATTTTTTATTCTTTTTTTTCTCATCTGAGGAATGTCAGGGATTCGATTAATGAGGCCTGCAGGCGTAGAAATGAAAAGGGCGAAAGGTGAAAGTGCTGCTTTCCACTTCAGTGGAACCTCATCTGAAGAGTCACTTCTAAAATTACACTGAGATGGAAAAGCTTGGAGGAGGAAGTGAGAAATGACAGGAAAATCAGCCTTTAAAGAGCTTCACACAGAAACAGAAGAAAAACGGTGAAATCAAAGCATGAGGTGAGCAACAAACAGGCACACAGCAGTCTGGGAAAGTGATGCAGCTGCTTCTTTTTTTTTTTATTATGCCTATCAGCTTCGAAGTGAGAAACAACTACCAAGACCTGATCACCAGTCACATTTGGTTTCTCTCAACCCTACACCTTTTTATTCCAGTTACACTCAAAATCCGACTCGATCAAATGCAAAATGGACCCGGTCCAGATTTGGACCGTATTCACATGTAGACTTCTCAGATGTATTTGAACTTGACTTTCTTAAGCTTGGGTGCAACCAAGCGACGCTGCAACGCAAGATTCTCTCTTAACAACAGACACATTGTCTCTTTGACTTGGGCAGGAATTTGTTCCAAAAAAACTCATCCACATTTGAACTGAAACTCTCAGGTGCTGTAATGTGTCGTCTCGCAAACTGACGTGTTTGTGCCGATTCTGATTTGTTGCCAAGAGTTGTGGCTCCCTGTAGCTCACAGCGTCGGCCTCTGTCTTGGTTTTTTACGCGCTGTGGGACGACTGAGGCTTATCGGCATAAAGCAGTTTGCTGATAAACAGACTGTTCACAATGCGACGCCCACCCACTCATCTCACAGGACGGCTTTGTCATATTCGCCATTTGAAATGAAAAAGTGAGCGTTAGGGCATTGTGAGTTCAAAGTCAGGCCTTCAGAGGACTGCCTATACAAATCAGGCCAGAACAGCAGCAACTGTCACACGGAGCGGTCCAGCTTGTTTACAACTCCCAGTAAGAGCACAGATATCCCTCAGCATGCAGACAATCTGCTGAGTCACTCAACTATCCGTTCTCGTACCCCTGCTCTCCGGGCCAGCTGTATCTCCCTTCAATAGTCTCTACTAAAAATATCCCCCCATTCCCTCTCTCTTGCTCTCTCTCTGCTTGCAACATACAGAGAACGCCTTGTCTTTAGGGAGCATGACAGCAGAAAGGGAGTTGCCGAAGTATAATATCAAAACGAGGTGGTCTTCCACAGCACGGACTGGTGTTTTCACAACCGAGACCAGATCACTTTCACTGCACGGCGACGCGACCCATCGAGTTTGACTGATCCAACTGCACGGTAAGCGCCTTTAGATTCAGAATGGAGTGGAATGTGGTCAGGTCAAAAGGACTTTCCTCTGCCGGTCGCAGAGTTTCAGAGTCTCAGAGTTTCAGAAACAGTCGTGGCAAGAAAGTTCTCAGAGTTTGGGTGGTGCAAAATAGTGAACAAGGACTTTCGTGCAACTCACTACGCCTCAACTGCCTTGGTACTGATGCTTTGCAAGCAGGAGGGAATTACCACAGAGGAAGAAGACAGAGAGGAAAACCTGTTGGATAGAAGTCTGATTTGACGACACAAAGTCAGGTGGAGTGACTTTGAAGTAGAAACAGACGGAATGGTAGAAAATGATAAATAATTTGTTCTTCTACAGCCCTCTGTTAAATCTACAGGTCCTCTAAGTGCTTCACACAACATGCAGTCATTGAAGGTCCAGGCAGTCAGATTTTTTTTGCGTCCTCTCGTGTTAAAGTCTGACCATCGGTGTGTCCCATGACTGTCACATCATGTCACGCCTCGTCACCGCCAAACCGAGACGCTCGCAAACCGAGGTTGCGCCCTGATGCATCGTTCCGGGCGAGGCCGATTGGACTTTGCTGTGGGTTTTGGATCCGCTCCTCGAGCTCAGCAGCAGCAGCAGCAGCAGCAGCAGCAGCAGCAGCAGCAGCAGCAGCAGCAGCAGCAGCTTTCAAATGACGAGTCTCCTGAGAGACGTGGGGACTGGTGACAGGCGACCTGCAGTTTCTGTGAAAACTTCACATCTGGATCAACGGAAGGGATGTTTGGATTTTTGGCGTTTTCTTCCCGACATCTTACATGATTGTCACTCAAGGAAGCAGACGTACCTTAAAATATATCTTCAGGCATGCCTCTGGGTTGACTCAAAAACCACGACGTCGTCATTATCAAACTTTAAAGAATCCAAAATTATTTTTTGAAAAAAAAAAATTTATATATATATAGATATATATATATATATATATATATATATATATATATATATATATATATATATAGATATATATATATAAATCCAGCCCTCATTTTTCTGGCATTTGAGAAACATCTTTGCCAACCTAAGCTACATAGACGTAACGTTTTAACAATCCTCACCTAGTCTGAACATTACTACGCATTAAAAATAGCAACCTAACAATATCAGACAAAAAAAAAAAGAAATACATATAAGTCAATGAAAGGGAGCAGAAATGTCAAAACAATGTAGCGTTTATTTGATGTAGGACGTAAAGGCTCTCCATTAACTATTTCTGTGTTTCCTGCAGGCTACACATATTTGAGGATAAACAACACTGCATTATGTCTCCCCAGTGGCTGCTCATGCTCACTGGAACAGCCTCCCACACACACAGTGCAACACACACTCCGTTTCCCCGCCGGAGGCTTCCTCAGCCGCAGACGGTTGGTAGTGCAGGTGAAGGGGTGGAACGTGAAGATGGAGGCGAGCCCTCCCACAGCGTAAGGAAGACGATGTCCTGGCAGCTGCATATGTTGAAACTTAGTGTTGGAGGGGAAATTGGCAGGGAGGTCTTTGACTAGGACAGAAAGTTCAGGGTGATTATCTTTCGACAGTATGCCGTTGTGCTTCCTTATGTCGAGGAAAAAACCACAGGTTGTTTCTGTGTTTTGGTTTCTCGTGGTTTTTTTATGATGCCAACGGGCAACTCTGCCATTCAGGAGTTTAATTACTGGTTTGACCTTTCCCCTCTGAAGGTGAAGAGCTGTGAATGCTGGGATCTGGAGTTCTTTCACCACTTCAGGCCTCAGTAGTCACACACCACCGTTCATCGCTCACATGGTTGAACGGTTGAATCTGGAACAAACTACTAGAAAACTCCAAAACGGCCAAAACACGGAGTTCCTTGAAATCAAGGTTAAGCCCACACCTGTTCAAAACGACCTTTGATCAGCAGTAAATGGAACGCTGATCAACACATTTATTGATCATTTTGATGATGGCATTTGACGAATTGTTGTGTTTGCTGCTTGTTTCTCAACTGGTTGCTGTCATGACTCAAAGTACTTTGAACTGCTTCGCTTCTGAAATGTGCTTTACAAACGAACTTGGCGTCAGTCCCATCGATGGGTTTCACGCCATCTTGCCGTGGATTAGCATCTGAGACGGGTGATTTTGTCACCTCTTAGCACCAATCTGCGTCACTTTTTGTCTCAGTCTGTCTGCGTTAGTCGTCCCAAATGAGATCCAACGTGGCAGCACCACAAGCTTTTGCTCAGCTCGTTGTGGCGGAGATGAAATGACGGACGACCGCAGCCAGATAGCAAGCTCTTCGTCCTGATCTCTTGAGCGAGCATTTGAGAAATGCGGAACACGCCCGTCGTCCAATGTGTCTCGTCGCGTCAAAGCGTTGTTTCCGTGGCTCTAAACGATCCAAAAATGGAAATGCAGAGAAAAGGATCCGTCAGGCCGCGTAATCTTTCAGCAGACGAAGCAGCGTGGTCTTGCAATTTTGAGACGCACCTTGAAATTGTAGTGTCTCTTTAAGAAACTCCTGCTTTTTCTGAATCTCTGCCTTCAAGAAGTCACCTCAACATGGCTCCTCTATTTACCCTTGAGCAACATTTTTACCAGTGTTACACTGACAAGTAGCTCCTATTATGAGCTCAGCAGATTGGTAGTTCCTCCAGACGTTTAAAATGTGAACATTTTCCAGCTGCATGGAAAACAGTGCAGGGTTTTCCCAATCACAACAACGGAGATTAGAGGCCTCCCTAGTCAGAATGAGTCAGTAAATAAGGGGAACCATTCTGACATCTTTACAGCAGGTGGACAAGCAGAAGCCAATGAAAATACATCACTCCAATATGCCAATCTTCGTCCAGAAAAATATCGTTATCGTTTATGAAATGCTTGTTCCATGTTCTACACAAAGTGGGAACATTTGGGACATACAGACATCTGGCTCTTCTCCCTGATTCACTGCTGTGAATCACTGGTTAGGAGCTATATTGTGTTTGTATTTGTGCTGAAACATATTTTGTCTTTGGCATTGGGTGTGTGTGTGTGTCTGTGCGCATGCGTGTGTGTGTGTGTTTGTCCACTCAGAAACAAACCAAAAGTCAAAAGACGCCTGAGGAGGACACTAAAAAGGCAGCTGCTGTCAGAAAGGAGGTCTCTTAGCAAGAACACACAGACTCTATCAACTGCTCTACTGCAGTCGCAAACACACAGCAACTACTGGGTGCGACGACACACACAAAAGGCAACATGGGATATTCTCTCACAGACTGACGCTCAGTGATAAATAGAGGACGGGGCATCTCAGTTCATTGTCTTCTAATCTGTTAAAGGGGCAGAAATATGATTTACCAGGCATGTGGTGCCATTTTGTCAGCTATGTTACCTTCAGTTTTATGAAAATGCTGTATATATCAAATTTGACTTCACAATTTAACACCTTGAAATTGGGTCTTTTTCTCTTTAAGAAGCTCCTGCTCTTTCTTCGCCTTCAGGAAGTCATCACAACATGGCTCCTCTATTAACCCTTTAATGACGTTTTTACCAGTGTTCCACTCAGAAGTAGCTGTGATGACCAGCTCAACAGACTCACAGTTACACCAGGTGGTTGCTGATTGCAGCTGGCTAGTCTGAAGGAGCTCAGTGGGGGAGTTGTGGAGGGGTGTGCTGCTCCATCTGGCAGCTCAGAGGAGGAGCTTCAGCCTTGAAGGCGGGGCTAGGTCCATCCAGGTGTTTTGGACAGCTCAATGGTGGCCAAGGCGGCTCAAACGCCTCTTTATGTTTCCGTCTGCTTAGGGCTAAATGCTAACATCAAGCTGTTAGCGCAGGAAGGAAAAGTCAAATCCCGTGTTTTTTTAACACAATAAATCTGATTCTGGTTACAATGTGGCAAAGTGTGAAAACATTGGGATACTTTTGTGCGGCCCTGTAGTCAAACAGTCAACATGTCTTCCAGTCATCCTTGGCGCCCTGTGCTGGGCTAAAACACAACCACAACGCCGGTTGACATAATGGAGCTAATCCTGTCTGGCTATTTGTCTCACTATGCCTGAAATGTTCGTGGGCTCAGGAAAGGGAGACGGGGGGCCCGAGAGGGGTCACATTAAAGCGTCAGGGTCTATTTAAAGCGTGTGAGCATAATTAGCCCCTAAAAACCTCTCCTTCCTCGCCTGGAGACGGACATCCACAAGGTCGAACAAGGTCAACAGTTGGACGTACGGGTCGTTGGCTTGACATCGGCTTATTTCTCCGCTCTATGAGTCTCTTTGCGATGCCTGTCTGGAGATTTCTTTTGGGTTTTTTTCTCCAGAGGATGATTGACTTTAGCAAAGGCCTTAGCTGGAGAAAAAGAATTTAAAACAAAGTGGCAGAGCGGAAAACAGCTCAGCTTTGAGACAACAGCTCCCTTGTCTGTAATTGTCTCTCCACAGAGCGGGATCAGGCCTGTCACAGGGACTTACGTGAACCCATCCTCAACGCATGTCAACTCTGGGAACAAAGTTGCAGAAAGGTTGACGTGGAAACGCAAAAAGTGATGATGTTAAACTAGAGGCTTGGCAGCTAACACGTCACCATGGGAAAAACAGAAAGAAAGATAGAAAGAAGCACAAAAAGACGGCTGAATATTTTTGCTATGTGCATTGGCAGTTCTGTAAAGATCCCACATGGCAGCCCATCAAAACTGTTTCACGAGGACATCTAGTGGCCACGTTGTTTTCAGCAGTCAGGAAACAGACCAAAGTCAGTGATGATAAAATCCAACTTCATTTCAAGAAACGTCTGCATGCAGACATCGTGAGCATGAAGGTCACATTCATTTTGAGCTCTTTAGATGCAGTCGATCTACTTTGAGGGTGTGGTGGTTCAAAAATAACGTTATAGATATCTAAAAACTCGGAGTGCATGAATTCATGTTGCAAGTGAAATGGTCCGTCAGTAGATCTAACACCTTTTCATCAATGTTAAAGAATTATTGACTTAAAACAAGCTCCTATTTATTTATTGATTGATTTTTCATGTTTATCCTATTGTCAGTTGAACAGCTGCACTGGACAAATTGATGTAAATAATGAAAGAATAATACAATATTTAAATATTTAAACTTCAGCCCAAATAATCAGCTAGATCATTGGAAATTTAACATGTTTGGGTTTTCCGACAGGATATTGAAACTGATCAAACATCAAAGCTCGTCTGAGAAGTGGTGAGGTTGTCTTTCATTAAGTTTGCAATTGATTCAGTGTATGCACATGTGGGCTTTCTTAACAATCGCACATCCTGTGTAGAATTCATGTCATTAATTTTTCCTTAAGGTCTAAACTTTCCCTGCTGACTTCTAAACATGTTTACTTCTGCAGCTACGAAAGATTAAAGATCTCTAATCCGGTTAAATGGCACAGCGAATGCCTCATGACGCTGCTGGACAAGATGGCCGATCAGGTGAGGAAAAAATAAAACATCCCTCTTTCAAAATGATTGAATTAATCATTGCTAATATTCATGTTTTATTTTTCTTGCTTTTCTGTTCTCCAACTAAATGTGTCATCTTTAGTCAGTATTGTCATGTCCACGTTCAGCCCCAAGGGCACAACTGCAGTGAATAACATGCGAACTGCGTTATTTTTACCCTTTTGTTGTTTCTTTATGTTAATTTTTTATGGCCGCTGGAGGCCTTAGCGGAAGCGGGGACTGGGGGGAGGGCTGGATTTTCTAAACTGGGTCATTTTTCACCTTTGTGAAACTGCAGTTTGAAACCACTTGGCCTCAAACTTTTAGACTGGGCATCTACAAGTTGCTGAGTCCTGAAACGTTTCAACGTGTCCCGTATCCTACATGCTTGAATTAAATGGTGAAAATGTTTCCCTAGCATGCAGTCAAGCTTCACAGAGCTCTGCTGATGAGCTAATGTTGGAGCAAGGTGAGCTGAAGCAGAGAGACTTCCAAACGCCTCCAAGTCTCTCTGCCAGTACCAGTTTTGCCCTTTGCCGTGACTCTTAATGCAAATCAAAACAAGTAGCTTACGTTGCCTATCTGCATGTGTACTGAGTAATTCCGTCTAGTTTCTTGTTGTCAAATACTTTTGCTTTGTCCTTGCAGTCCTTGGGATGTTGGCTGTGCAGGTGGAGAGAGACCCAAGGACGGGTGCCACCGTCATCAAATCAGTGGCCCCCATCTCCTCACCTCCTGCTGCTCCGACATCGACAACCATCTTTGACGATGGAAGGAAGAGCATCCACACCGTTGGCGGTTCGGTAGACGAACCTTCGACCGAAGAGCTCGGTGAGATATTGACCATCATTGATGACGTCGGGATGACGGTGCTGCTGGATGATGTAGCAGCGACACCGAACAAAACAGAGATTACCACTGGGAATGGAGAAAGAAACAAAAGTCAAGGTCACGTCCTGAATTTCATCACCCCTAATGGCACATCAAAGGAGGACTATGCACAGTTGGATAACTCTGGGTATAAAAGGGAAGTTGAGAGGATGAAAGAGTGTACAAGTGTTAGAATCCCAGATAAAGAAACCAAGATCGTCACCAAAGACATTACAGAAATTCTGGAGAACATGGAGGGTCAAAGCCTGGAGGAAGATCCAGTAACTCTTGTGTTCCTGGGTTACACTGACGCGTCGCCTGAGGAGGATCACAATGACGAGGACTACGAAGGCATGCTCACTGCAGAGCGGGTCATCATTACTGAGTACGGCGAAGAACACGTGGTGGAGCCAGGAGCCGCTGCTTCACTTCAATCGCCCTCTGCAACCAAAGGAGAGCAAGAGACTCAGAAAAAGACTCAAGACACAACCCTTCAGGATGTTCCACTGAATGATGACGACGCAGAACCCCAAACCCAGAGGGAAGACGGCGTTGAGAATGACGGCAGGCGGAAGAAATGTCGGTGTTGCTCTGTCATGTAGAAGACAACTAATGGAAGATGGTATATTTTTAGACACATATTTCCCTTAAGCTCAGTCTTTATCAAAGTTAGATGTATCTCTGCTTCCCTCTCCTAGAGGACAGAGCACAGAATTTCTTTTTCAGGACTCAAGCAAAAGATTTGGCCATATATCAGCCAAATAAGTTCAGTACTTGTTTGGGGATTGCTGTTTGTATCGTTTTTAATGTTTTTGCATGGTTCAATGTGTTTGTCAGGTTTTATGTTCTTGTTAGGTATAAAAACTGTGACGTCTCTTGACTCGATGCTTCCAGAGGGCAGTTGCCACAGAGAACAAAAACATGGATACTTTGGTCTAAGTCTGCTCCAGTAGGAGGGATTGCTGCATAGAACAAGGAGATTTTAATAAGTTCAATTGACTCCAAATCGGACTGCATTATTGGATTAAATTTAGTTTTTTGGTTGAAACTATTTAGTCATTTTATATAATACGTTTCTTACGTTTGTTGTATATCAAGTACACCTTGTGCCTACCCAACTCCTAACGTCTGTGCCTTTTTTTAAATAAATACAAAGTGACGCGTACAAAAACGTTTAACCTTGTACTAACCGTTTTTGCCAAATAAACCAGCAGGACAAATAAAAAAACATCTGACAGTGATAAGAAATGACATCAAAACCCCTAAATCCTCTTAAAAAATAAATCATCCACCTTATTCCTATATTTCATAATGCTATGTTCGAGAGCAAACGCAGATTGAAACATGAGAATATCAACATTTTGCCTCAATCAGGATGACTTAAACCATAGCTGAAGCTTAAATCTTTCAAAGAATGGGAGGATGAGCCAAATAAATGGACTCTGATTATACATAACCAGCAAAATTAGCTACTTTGTCATCTACCTTTCAATGGAATTGAGGTCAAATACATTAATAAATAAATTTGACACTGAGCTGTCATTTCCCGTGATTTTAATTAGCTTTTTAGTCCATGAATTGTGCATTTGATCATTTAATGAAGTCGTTTTTAGATGCGAGTTTAGAATGCTGGCAGGATATTATGCACTGATGAATTATTGATCATGAAACAGGTTTTTATCAATCTTTATGTCTTAAACCTATAAAGAGTTTTTAGTGAATCATTGTTATGGTGACAATGATTCGCCTCATTTCCAGGCGATGAACTGAACGGTGCTACATGGACTGGTTGAAGGTCGGGATGCTTTGTAACCGGACCCTGCTTTAAACTGCTCTGTGTCATTATCACCGTGTTGCTTAATGGTCTTCATGATTCTACTTGTTCTCTAACCAGTCTCGCTGCCAAGAGAGGGGCAGCGGGGGCCATGAACCCCTCTTGAAAAATGTAAATATGAACAAATAAATAAACCTGATTTTTCTTTTTTTTTCTTGCATTTACTTGTGGAGGGTTTTTATTCTCTCTATTTTTGCTGTGCAACTGGTTGCCATGCACAAAAATGATTGGCTCTTCACCAACATGTTCTCACTATGGTATAACCAAGTCATTCCAAATTGCACATCGCATTAGCTATTAGACATGTGAATGATTGACTTAAGTAACTGCAGAAGTTCTTTGTTTGTCTCCTCCTTTTGTTGTTTATTGCAAATTTGAGTTTTGAACACTGCAGTTGTGGAGGCCTGGTTTTGACTTACGTACAGTTACAATTATTTTGTTTACACAGACCAGTTGACTGGTAACAATTTGCTCCTTAAGGGATTAATAAAGTTGCTTTGACCTGACCCGGCTCATATGTAGGGTTATCAATATCAAAAGCGGTTGACCACATAAGCGTTTCACACTTTGTCAGCTTAACACTGCCCTTAAGCCATCAATGATTTTTTTCCATTTGATTCACAGTTCTACACCCTCTGTTGATCAGCTGTATGCAGCCCCAATAAAATTCTCATGAAATTGTGATTGCAAACTGAGAAGTTGGATATTTCCATATGAGTTTTTGGAAGCAACTTTCTGGGGCAGAAAAGCGCTCCACACGGTGACTGCATTATTTAAATACTGAAGTGTTTGAGTTGTTTTCTGTGAAGGGAGCTGCATCTGAAATCTGAAACATGGATCAGATCTGACATCACTAGAATTGTAGACCATAAAACTTTGCTCCTGCTCGGGATTATTTTCAACTGAGCTGCTTCTCAAAGAGGAGGATTTGGTTTGTGCACGACACAGAGGACAGGAGGATACAGATGCTAAGCAGATCACCTTGATCATGCATATTTCCATCGAGGTTAGCACTACCACACACGGCCAACAGCTCTGTCAGGTGGGTCTCTTCCTTTAAAAATCTACACAAAGTTTACATGTTTTAATGCATTTGTTGTCTGTTGTACTCAGAAACAGCCATGTTTGTACAGCACTGTTTTTGTAATAATGTAAAAAGTGGTGACATTTTTGTATCAGGTCATAAGGAATTGCTTTTCCCCTAAACGAGTACAGGCAGATTAATTGTGAGCATTTTTTTGTGAGTTTTTCATTCGATTGTGACAAGCTCCAAAACCGGACGGGACCCCAAAAGAACAGGAGCTGCAGTTTCATCCACCACAGATATGGAGTGATACATGGGGAAAATCACGACTTATTTTAAGAATCTAGGTTTAGGTTGATTTAGAGTAAAGCTGAGATCACGTGTAGTTCAGATTGATGTGAAGGTCCAGAAAATACACTTCCTCATAGGGAAGTAAACGAACATGGGAGCCGTCCAAGACGGCAAACGTTGAAATCACAAAAGTACCTCAGATATGGTTGCTTAAATTACTGGCTTCATGCAGGAAAGCAAAATGTTCTATAAAAATAAAGTGTAAACAGGTTAAGCTCATTAATATGTCTTGTTGGAAAGGCTCAGTGAACTACTGTTGATAATCCAAAGGTGCGGCTTTAAATCCTTCAGTGCAGGTGTAAATATAGACCAGCTGGTTCAAACCCGTGTTGTTGTAAATCATAATTAGCCTAGAAAGTGTTACGTTTAAAAAAAATAATGTAAAAACGGTCATCGGACACAATGTATAGTGATTAAAAACATGAGAGTGAAATTCTGTCTAGTCCAAGCAGAATCGTTCGATCAAAACTATTCAAGCAGTAATCAGTTTATTTACTGTACCTACATAAATCACCTAATAGAGTGTTGGAGTCTGAGTGGCCAGTCAGTCAGGCAGACACTGTCCACACAGCTTTCCTCTGTTTGTACAGACGGAGGAAAGCCGATTACTCTTCTTCCCCTTTATCAGCACAACTGAGAGGACTCGGACACGGTGGCACAATAATGTCACCCTGGCAACACCGGCGCTGTGCGCCAAGATGAATGCAGAAGGCTAATTGAATTCTTGGTTGCTTTGACGCTTCTTTAATTCACACATATTTACATGCACTATGTAAAAAAAACAAAAAAACAAAAAAAAAAACTTTTATTTTCTCAAAGCCAGACAACAATTCAGAGGAAACATTTTTTTTCTGTTTTAGTTCAGGTAAAATTGCCAAATTATTTCTAGTTATTTTTTTGTTTTGTTTTGGGGTTTTTTTGTCTGTATGAGATGTGTCAAACATTTTGGGTTTGCTCACACAGGCTTCTCAGGGCCATTTGCTTGATATTTGGGCCCCTTTCTCCTAAAAGACCAAGAGTAACACTGTCAGGTTGTTGGTCAGCTCACTCACACACACCTCTTGAACTCTTTCTACAAATATTCCTACCAAAGGTGGATAAGAGGCATGGCCAAGTCAATTTTTTGTTTTTTTTTACTGGACTTTTCTGAGGTGCCGCTGGCTCTAAGGACCTGAGATCAGGACTTTCTGATAGCCACTCCAAAACATTGATTTTCTTGCCCTTCAGTCATTTTGTCATCTATTTGGTGGCATGCTTATGCTTACTTCCACTGTAGTTTCAAAAATCAGGGTCAGAGTTCATTTGTAATCTTTAATCTGACATGTGAGTTGCTTTTCAATCAAATGGCCTCTTCCTGCGGACAGTGACACACTCTCGTTACCTTCAGGCAACATCTTCAAAGGTCCAAAGTTTTCCTCCTGACAGCTCAGTTGATTTTCTTTGGTTTGTCCAGGAGGTCACACAGGGAAGCGGAGTCTGTGCGCGTGTGTGAGGTGTTGCCTTAAAATACATTGGCAGCTCTGCCTCTGTTTAAGTCTTCAAGAAGCTTACAAAGCCAAGCATCATCATCTGGGTTTATTCACATTACCTAAAGGTTTAGTCATTTTAGTCGATGCAAACTTTTACATTTGAAGAATGTCATGAAATAAAATAAAATAAAAAATTATTCTAGCATTACCATATGTACACATTTGAAGTAATCCTAGCTGATCTAAAACAGGAAAACTTTGCTCTGATTTAACGTCAGACAGAATGTTTACGTAAATGTCTGGTCACAGATAAATGTCAACTTTAGTGACGACTTTCATAAGGCATCAGGTATGACGCTTCCTCCTGCATCTCGATAACTCTTGACTGAGGGTTCGTGATCTTTGCTAAAGGGAAATGACTTGGACTTGGATTAGAAGTCTACAAGCCAAGTCTTTGGATTGGAGACTTCGAGATGCGTGAAATAAACCACGCAACCTTTTAGAATGTGGTAAAGTTTCAACTCTTCAAAATCCTCACTTTACTAAAAATACTGGCCCAAGTCATTTTTTTGCCAAAAGATGTTGTTTGCCATTTTTAGGAAACAACAGCCATTATTTTAGGAATGGTCAAAATGTTTTCTGCCCTTTGTACGTCATCAGAATAATCCAGCTATTGGTATAATTTATTTGCCTTCATCAATAACAATTTATGTTTTTGTTGTTATTGCAGCCTATTGGATCTAAAAGGGAAATACCAAAAAACCTCTGAGTGTTTCTAAAAGTGGTCATTCAACAATACGTCTCAGCTCGTACAGCTTTCTCTCCCAGAACCATGGGTGCGTAAATCAGGACTGCAAAGACATGACCCAAAATACAACAAATTTTCCCGAAATCTTTAAAAATTCACAAGATGGTGCCGAAGTTTATTCTGATGCTCCTGCGCAGATCAAGCGGTACTATAGCTTGATGGACGACGAAGGACCGGGTGACGTGTTCATCCAGCCCCCTTCTCCTCCGCCCTGCAGGGCTGTTTTGTCACCAACAGAGGGAAGCACAAGCGCAACACCAGCAGATTCTGGTGTGACCCTACCAACCCAAGCAGCTGACGCCACAAAAGCTAATCCCTGCAGCTTAGACAGGCACCATGGTGAGAAGCGGTTAATGGCAGCACGGAACGAGCTGGATGAAGAGATAACTGGTACAATGGAGCCGTCAATGGAGCCTATGGATGACACATTGCTTTCCAGTGACAGGAATTATCAAAACCAAAAATCCATGGATGACTCAGCTTGTTTGGTGGAGCGATGCCATGACAAAACTGGAAAAGCAGAGAGGAGTAACGCATCAGGGGATGAAGAATCAAATGAGGAGCCTGAAGATGGCCCAAAGCCATGGGAAGAAGAAGGAGGAGGAGAAGAAGAAGAAAACTATAAACAAATATATTCAGACGTGGATGAAAACCCGGGGGATACGACTAATCAGGAGAAAGAATGTGACAAAAAGCACAAAGGTATTTCTTGCCTTGATGAGAGAGACTTGGAGTTATCAAAGACAATGTCTGATCTCAATAAAATCAATGATTTCACATCTTCAGAGCCATCAGAATTTACCAATAATGAAGCAGAAGAAAGAACCAAGAGCGGTAACAATGAAGAGCATGTCGGAACCAGATCTTCGGACAACATCCTCACAAGATCTGAGCAAGAATCTGAAGAAGAGCTTGAGCAGGTCGATGAAAACCGGAGAATAGTGTCTGATATCCATCAGGGAGAGCAGCTGCTTCAGCGTCTGCAAATGGTGCAGCTACGACATGATGACATCCTAAATACAGCCCAGGAGATTATCACAGTGGCAAAAGCTGAGGAAGAAGATAGGTTTAGGTCTGAGGTTGACAACGGGGGAATTAGAGAAAAGAGTGTAACAAGTGACGAATATGAAGAGGAGGATGCATCAAAGGAGAAGGAACAGAGGACAGATGTGACAGAGAACAAAAACAATGACAACAATGGCACAGAAGCAAGGACCACCTTGTCAACATCACCTGGAACGGCACAGCACAAGCAGATCGACGCAAAAGATGCAGATGAGTCTTTGGACGATTACAGTGAAAGCTTGCCATCTTCAACTTTGCCACTTCACAACCCTCGCGAAATGCCCGGTGATATACTGTTCATTTCTGCCGGGCATCGATTTTCAGCTGCTGAAACGTCAATGGAGAAACAGATCCAGGAGGCGGCCCAGGCCAGGCAGAACCTGCAGAGGGCTGGGGGTGTTTTCAACCTTGCAGATAATCCGGATGTGTTGGAGATTCCATTCAAGACAGATGTTTCTCTTGAGTCACTCCTTACTAAGGCGTGTACCATCCAGCAAAGCCAGTGGCAGTTTTCTGAAAAGAAGATGCAGAAAGAGATAAGCCAGGAAATTCAAAGGGAGCTGGTGCTGGTCAACCAGGGTACGATTCCTGGGGAGTACTGCAAAGGGGAAGCCCGTCAGCTGAAGGAGACAAAACTGCTGTTTGAGACTTTTCAGCAGGTTAACATGGAGGGACCTACAAGGCTTAGGAAGCTCCCGACCACAGCAATGAAGGGTCCCGTTTACCCCTCTGTTCTGGAGCGCACTCGAAGCCTTGAGATGTTTTCCCTCAAGACCTGTCTTGTCTCAAGGGCCCACTCTTTGAGGCTATGCAACTCTACAAACCTCGAAGGAGACAAAAGTCCAGAAACCCTCAGATCGAAGAGCCCAACTGGGGGCTCTCGTGACAGAACACGCTTATCTCCTTACTCGAAACACGACAAGCACCTACGGCTGCACAGGAGCATGGACTCAATAAACAGCGAATCCTCCACTTCCGCTGCGGAGTCTAGGGTTAAAACAAAGGACAGGCAAGGATCCCCCATATTGAGGCAAAACCCTTTCTTCAAGCTGCGCCCAGCCATGGCCCTGCAGCCGGAGGTGGAGAAGGACATTCGGGAGGCTAAGGAAAGAGAAGAAGAACTGCGCAGACAGCGGTGCACTTTGTATGGGGAGGACAGACACAAAAATGAAGATGAAGAAAAGCATCGGTGTACAATGACGCTCAAATCAGGTCAGTCTGCCTCAGCATGATGCGTTTGATGAAACATTCATCGACTGAGCACACTCGAGCATTAAATTGAGCAAAAGAATTGTTTATACAGCAGAACTTTTCCTCCTTTAATGCTTCAACAATCAGTCGACGAGTTCTAGTCTGTATTCATCCCAAACCTCCCAGGCCTTTTAGCTCTTCAATGTATGCCTCTCAACATTAACATCAAATGGTGTTATCTAATGAGTCTTATCGCAAACTTGGTGTCCTCTTTGTCACTTGTGGTCAAGGGCGGTTATTTTAGCAACAAGCTGGATCTGAGTCTATGGTTGCCAGCAGGCTGAGTGACAACAGGAGGCCTTTTGTCTGTCATCATTTTACATTTTCATTTTATAGGACTACCCAGGAAAACTCTGATAAGGTAGAGATATTTGTAAATTTTATGCACTGAGTGCTTTGAATCCTAGTTTCTAAACACAAAACGAATCTCGGCAAACCACCAAGTCATAGCGGTCAGTTCTGCTTACTAAAGAGCTGCACTGATGAGTTCAAATATGCAATAACAGCTTAGATATTTTGGAGGAAATGTTGTTAATTTTTAAGCTGTGCTTTGTGGAAATTTTAAAAATCCATCCATCCATTTTCTGACATTGTTATCCCATCGGGTGCTAGTGATTATCTTCATCGGTCAACGGGTGAGAGGCGGGGTCACCCTAGACAGGTCCGTCACGGAGATCATGAAAATATAAATCTGATGTAGTTTATGATGTTTTCTTGTCACTGTTTGCTTTTATTGAGAGTTGCCAATAGAGGCAATGAAACAGAAAGAGCAAGACGGGAGACTATGGATGGGTGTGTTGAGGACGATGACCTCCATGTCTCTATTCAGACCAAAAACAGTTTCTTCTTGAATGGTGGAGTGATCCCAGGTAATCTTGCTCCAAAGCAGGGAACTGTATGCTCAACAAGTGAATCTGCATTAACAATATCCCACCTTTATGTTTAAACTTATGAGAGTTAGCCACTGCTGCGCTCCAAAATACAAATGACAGTACAATTTCTATAACTTTGTGTTTAGGATATATGAAGCTCTCCAATAAATACTTATGTGTAACATAGTTTCTTAAAAACCAGAATTCCTTTGATACTCAGGTAATTAGGATAATATTTTTGGAAAAATTAGGTTCATAAGTTTTAAATGAAGACACGAATATATATGCATTGCATATATTTATTATATGCAAGGCATATATTAAATATGTTAATATATGCATTTGGGTTTGGTTTCTTTCAAACTGCCCGTGTTGGAAAGCTTCAGGGAGAAGACTGTTGGCATGGACTTAGTTGAATAAATAAAGGATTTCATGTTGACCAGGTTTACATGAAGAATTGCATATCTCTGCAGGAATCTGGAGGAATCTCAGCCGATTGTAAAACGAATTTCCAAAGAACTACGAACATCTCTTTATAGCTGCACAGACGGCGCAGTAAAACAGAGAGAGCAAACCGTTTCCCATGTTTCAGTACTTCTAAACATATAGTAATCCTGAGAACTTGAAATCTACTATATAAAAAAAAAAAAAAAATTCCCTTCTCACCCACCGCGGGTGGTTCTTATCCTCTGAGCTCGGGTCCTCTACCAGAGGCCTGGGAGCTTGAGGGTTCTGCGTAGTATCTTGGCTGTGCCAAGGACTGCACATTTCTGGACTGAGATGTCTGATGTTGTTCCTGGGATCTGTTGTAGCCACTGCTCCAGTTTGGGGGTTACTGCCCCGAGGGCCCCGATGACCACAGGCACCACTGTGGTCTTCACCTTCCAGGCCCTCTCCAGTTCTTCCCTGAGGCCCTGGTATTTCTCTAGTTTCTCGTGCTCCTTTTTCCTGATGTTGCAATCACTTGGTATTGCTACATCTACCACAACGGCTTTCCTCTGATGTTTATCCCACTACGACAATGTCTGGTTGGTTCGCCATTACCATTTTGTCTGTCTGGATCTGGAAGTCCCACAGGATCTTAGCTCTGGTGTTCTCCACCTTTGGGTGTTTCCCACTTTGATCTCGGGTTTCCAGTCCATATTCTGCACAGATGTTTCTGTACACTATGCCTGCCACTTGATTATGTCGCTCCATGTACGCTTTCCCTGCCAGTATCTTGCACCCTGCTGTGATGTGCTGGACTGTCTCAGGGGCCTCCTTGCACAACCTACACCTTGGGTCTTGTCTGGTGTGGTAGATCTGGGCCTCTATTGCTCTGGTGTTTAGGGCCTGTTCCTGGGCTGCCAGGATGAGGGCCTCTGTGCTGTCCTTGAGTCCAGCTTTTTCCAGCCATTGGTAGGATTTACTGATATCAGCCACTTGGGTTATTTGCTGGTGGTACATCCCATGTAGGGGCTTGTCCTCCCATGATGGTATCTCTGGCACCTCAACCTCCGTTCCCTGTTGTCTGAGACATTCACTGAGCACATTGTCTGTTGAGGCTTTGTCCCTGATGTATTTATGGATCTTAGTTGTTTCGTCCTGGACAGTGGTTCTCACACTCACTAGTCCTCTGCCTCCGTCCTTGCGGCTCGTGTACAGTCTCAGCGTGCTGGATTTGGGATGGAACCCTCCATGCATTGTTAGTAGCTTTCTGGTCTTAATATCTGTGGCTTTTATCTCCTCCTTTGGCCAGCTAATTATTCCAGCAGGGTATCTGATTACTGGCAAGGCATAGCTGTTTATCGCACGGATTTTGTTCTTGCCATTGAGCTGGCTTCTCAGGACTTGCCTTATTCGTTGGAGGTATTTAGCTGTGGCTCCTTTCCTCGTGGCCTCATCGAGGTTGCCATTTGCTTGTGGTATACCTAGGTACTTGTAACTGTCCTCTATGTCTGCTATTGTTCCTTCTGGGAGTGAGACCCCTTCTGTGCGGATCACCTTCCCCCTCTTTGTGACCAGCCGACCACATTTCTCTAGTCCGAATGACATCCCAATGTCCGTGCTGTAGATCCTGGTGGTGTGGATCAGTGAGTCGATGTCTCGCTCACACTTGGCGTACAGCTTGATGTCATCCATGTAGAGTAGGTGACTGATATTGGCCCCATTTTTGAGTCTGTATCCGTAGCCAGTCTTGTTGATAACTTGGCTGAGGGGGTTCAGGCCTATGCAGAACAGTAGCGGGGACAGAGCATCTCCTTGGTATATGCCACATTTGATGGACACTTGTGCAAGTGGTTTGCAGTTGGCTTCAAGGGTGGTTTTCCACAGCCTCATCGAGTTTGCAATGAAGGCTCTCAGAGTCCTGTTGATGTTATACATCTCTAAGCATTCAATGATCCAAGTATGCGGCATTGAGTCATAGGCTTTCTTGTAATCAATCCAAGCCATGCACAGGTTGGTGTGTCGGGTTTTGCAGTCTCGGGCAACTGTGCGGTCTACGAGGAGTTGGTGTTTGGCTCCTCTGCTATTTACACCGATACCCTTCTGTGCCGTGCTCATGTGTTTATCCATGTGTTTGCTTATCTTGGCCGCTATGATGCCTGACATGAGCTTCCAGGTTGTGGAGAGGCAGGTTATTGGTCGGTAGTTGGGTGGGACTGGACCCTTTGATGGATCCTTCTGGATTAGGATTGTCCGCCCTTCAGTTAACCATTCAGGGTGAGTCCCACTTTGTAGCAGCTGGTTCATTTGGGCTGCCATTCGCTCATGGAGAGCAGTGAGTTTCTTTAGCCAGTAGGCATGGATCATGTCAGGCCCTGGTGCTGTCCAGTTTTTCATACCTGAGACTCTTTCTTGGACATCTGTCACAGTGATGGTTACCGGGGCTTGCTCAGGGAGGTTGCTGTGGTCCTCTCGTAGAGAGATCAGCCACTGTGCATTGCTGTTGTGGGACGCCTCCCTTTCCCATATGCCTTTCCAGTATTGTTCCGTCTCCAGCCTTGGTGGGTCTGCTCTGTTGTTATTGTTACCCTGCCATTGAGAGTACACCTTAGCTGGTTGAGTGGAGAAGAGCCGGTTAATCCTTCTGGATTCATTCTCCCTTGTGTATCTCTTTAGGCGGCTGGCCAAGGCTTGGAGCCTCTGTTTGGCAGTCTCGAGTGCTTCAGGTATGGGCATCTGCCTGTACTTTCTGGGTACTGGTCTTTTCATTGCACCCTTGTGGAGCTCTGACAGTTGGCTCACTTCCCTCCTTGTTACCTTGATTTTAGCCTCTAACCGTCTTTTCCATGGTGGGTATTGGGTCTCATGGTTGCTCTTATAGCCAAGTATCTCAAGGATCACTGATGCTGAGTTGTAGATCAGCTCATTGGTTTCTGTTATGGTGTTGGTAGGGATCGTTCTCAATGCTGCATTCACATTCTCAATGAGACTTTCTGATGGTACTTCACTCAGCCGTTGTAATTGGCGCCGGGGAGGCCTGGTTGTCATTCGGGTCATGATTCTCTCTCTCAGGTCAGCAGCTGTCTCGTTCAGCTCTGTTTCGCTCATTGGGGCCGTGTATCCCCTCACTGGGTGGGGACTTGTAGTTAAGTCCCCACAGTTCTGACATCCGGGTTCCTCCCTTCTGCCGTAGCATTTGTGTTGTATCTCGTCAATCTCAAGTTGTGATAGCAGTTGCCGTTTGCGGATGTTGGAACACTGAGCTACTAGTTGTTTAGCGCTTAGTGTTGACTGGGGATGTCGAAGTAACCATTCCTTCCCCAGTCTTTGCATGTAACCCCTCTGACTAGGGTTACTTGAGTAGTAGCATTCCAACAGATCCACATTTTCATCTCTCGCCCATTTCCGTCTTGTTCCAGTAGCCCATTTGTCATCAAGGTGCTCTGGTTCCCCAACACCTGACGCAGACCTTGTTTGGCCGGGCGACGTCTGAGCCGGCATGTTATGCAACTTAGTATCTCTCATGGTATGAGGTAGGCAGTAGCTTGAAGGGTCTTGCCTAAGGACCCAGACTGGATTCGAACCCTGCCCTCTCGGTGATATACTGATGCCTTATGTATTGAGCTATCCAGTCATATATATATATATATATATATATATATATATATATATATATATATATATATATATATACACACCATCAACAAATGAATTTCTTTCCGAAAACAATGAAGGCCTTCGAAACGGTTGTGCTGGTCGTAAACATTTCGATTTAGCCTGTTTTCTCGCAAAACTGTCCAGGGATTCAGGTGCCGCTGAACATCCTGAGACCTGATAAAGATTTGTAATATGAACAGGAGCCAAAAGGCTTGGATTAGTTTCAAACTTTAATCGTTTTTATCTTCTCCTTTCACGTCTCTTTAGATGTGAAGTCCAGGGGAAAGCTGGAGAGACTGTGGCCGCCTCTGTCTAAAACGGATCAGAAGAAATCTGGCGAGGTGCAGGTAAAAAAAAAGAAATGAATAAATGAAATATCACAACAATATCCAAAAGCACGTGTGAGCTTCAACTTCATTTTCTTGTTCTTAGCTCAACCATTGTGTTTCTTCCACGTGCGAGAACAGAAAACAATAATATCCGAGAGTTTTAGAAATGCTTAGCTGAGAGCAGGAGCCGCAGATCAGCTTATCTGCGGCTCTAAAGCCTCGTCCTTTCTCTGTCTCATCTCACAGCAGGAGGCGAAGGTTCACAGAGCCGGAGGTCAGAAAGCTCCTCTGTGGCTTCTCTGGGAGTCCGGCCTGATCAACGGCCAGCTGTCAGAGGAGAAGAAGTGATGCCGGCCGCCTTAGCGGTGCAAGAACAGAATCCCGATCAGCAGCAGAACCGCCGTCTGAACACAAAACGGATCAGGGAAACATCAGAGCAACAGGAACCTTTGTGTTCGTTCCAACTTCACCACTTTCTGACTCTTCGGGCTCTGCCTAGTGTTTGCATCAGAACATGCTTTTGATTTTTACTTTGATATAACGTAGTCTTAGATGGCAAGTTAAGCAGAGCACATGTTTATTTATTTTTTCATACTTATGTTTCTTCATCATCATGTATTTATTCAGGACCAACAGATATTATTTGAAAAATCCTGTTGTTATTTTTTTGTTGTTTTAGGGGGAGGTTCTTCACAACACAGCCAATTATAGAAGAACATTTAATTTTTTATCGCTTAGGCTGTGTTGCATTTACAGTGTTGGAAAAGTTTTGGTTCTAGTGAGTCTTAGATTAAATCTGGTCCCATCAGGGAACATCTGGATTGTTTTCAGCTTAAATTAAATTGCTTTATTAAAATAAGTTTATATTCGAACATATATATATATATATATATATATATATATATATATATATATATATATATATATATATATATATATATGTTTTTTTTGTTTGTTTTCTTTTTTCTTTTTGAGCCAGTCAAGTTAACTCTACAGACAGAAGTACACAACTTATCTCATTCAACACACTCTGTTGGGTTAAAACCAGCATTGAGAGACTTCAGCTCAAATGTCAGTGACATCCAGCTAAATTATCTTTATCTATATGGTCAGATGCAAGGTTTACCGAAAGACTACTAACCATAATCACACTTTTCCAGAAAATAAATTTGAAGTTTTGGCGCTGGAATGAGGTGGTTTTTTTTGGGGGGGAGGTTTTGGGCCATATTCACAAAACTGCAACAGAAACACTTTTTTTTGGCATGAAGAGCTGCATGATCCGTGAAGAAGACGATGACAGGAAGCAGTTGGAGGATGACGGCGCGGCATGTTTTTAATGACTTGTCAGGCAAACAAACTTGGGTTTTTTGGGGGGTTTTTTTATATATATTAGCAGAATATTGACAAAATTTTGTGCTCAATTTTGCTGGAAACACAACTACTGTGGTACTGTGAAAAAGTAACAATGCTCCTTAAACTTTGTCACGCTATATGCACACTCCTCCTCTATTCACTTAGATATTTGCACTACGGGCACTTAGTGTTTGTGTTGCTCCTTTACATTTATACTTAATAAAAGACACAAAGATATTTGTGGCTTTAATACGACATAATGCAAAAGAGATCCAAGAGACCAAGCCCAACTTGATTTAAAATACTGTCTACATGCTAATTAGCTGGAAGCTAATTGTTTTCAACATTTATTTATATTTTAGTACTACTTCCTCAGAACTTTTTTTCACATTAGTTTGCCATGTTAACCCTCGTTTCTAAAATGAAATTTGAATTTCATTTTAGGAACTTTATCACTAAGTGAAACACATTATATAGCTTATTTACACACAAATGGATCTCTGAAGGTCTATTATGATGATTTTCCATTTACAACTAATAAAATAAGACATTTACAATTATGATGTCAGACCCACAAAAAAAAAAAAAAACATTTTTAAAAACAGACAGTTATTACTATTAACATCCACAAGAGGTCAGGGTGGTCTCATTAACAGAGCAGAAGGTTTTTCCAAAGAAATTCACAACCAAGACTTGAGGCTTCTTGGATGTGAACTTATACAAGCGTCACTGTCGAAACGTTGAGGCCGGCAGATGCATGGATGAATGACGACAGCTTATTTTCATGAGTCGGTCCGGATGTCTGCTTCACAGGAAGACTCTTCAGATGCCGAGAAATGACCAAAGTTACATAACTGCTGTAATTGACTCAATGATGAGTCATTTCACACATCCATAGCCACCAGGTTTCTGTTATGTCACGTCTATACGTAAGACGGGAACGAGGTTCTAAATTTGAGCGGCGGCATCACTCTCTACAGGAGAATGTGGGCGGCGACTTCTTCACCCTGAGTCACTTGTGAGGGTCGCCATGTGCGGAACATGAACCGGGCTTCTGGCGGGAACTCACTCATTAGATGACTCTTAGCTCAAAGATGGTATTTTTAACATAATCTGGACAAGAAGCACAGATGAAAGCAGGGATATGGATTGATAGACAGGTTTCTGTCTCCAAAATGGTTGTAAATAGTTGTACTGACAGGGGGGATGGAGGGAGTGAAGCTTTGCTAGATTTCTTGCACCTTCTTTCTTTGCATTTTTTTATTTTATTTTATTTTATGTATGTTGCCTGAAAATAAATAGGCAAGATGTTTGTGCCGCAAACGCCTTAAAGGGGCAAATTTATGCCAGTGTTTCTGTACATGTTGTCTGTTGGGTGTCAAAAGCCAGAAACAAATGGCACTACATGGATAAGTTTGATGTAAAGGGCAGTAAAAGAACGGACATGAGGAATTTGAAAATACAGAGAATTACCTCTTTGACACAAATACACTGAGGTTGATTACCACTGTCGACTCATCAATAAGGTGTGTGGCAATACCGCGTTACACACACAGAGGCAAACTGTACCGTGACATAGTGAAGTGGAACGGGGTTGCTCACTTGGCTGCAGTCAGCAACGTTTAACCAACTACCAAGTCAAGGCATTGAGAAAGTCGATGCATTTCCTTCACATTTTCCACAAATATACATATTCTGAGCACTTGACTTGCCTGGGCTCCTCCTTGAATTGCTGCAGTAAAAAAAAAAAAAGTTTGAACAAACAGTGGGTAGTGAGAGCATGAGGTAAGGACAGAATAAACAGACCTCAGATAGCCTCGCTGAGTTGAGCCATTGTCCTCAACAAAACCGTCCATTTGCTTTCTCGCCCTTCCCCCGTCCTCCACTCCCACCTCCCATTCTTACACTATGAAAACTCAATTGTCTAATCCCATTATCCCACATTACAACAGTGAACAATGACACAAAGAAGCCACACACATTAATGTGGGTACTTTTTTGTTTATGTCAAAGGCCGCTTGGCAATAGTGTTTTTCTTGGAGTACCTTCTGTGAGCTCGTTGGTTCAATGCATATAGTCGTTTTCTGAGAAGCAGAATGATTTCATTGTCTTAATTTCATTGTCATTTTGCTAAATGCCAGTCAACAACTTATTGGGACTTTACGTGAAGAAAGATACTTTATCTCTAGCAGACAGGGGCAGGAAGATCACCAGGAGGGTTGTGGCAAGAAGCGGTGGGCGGCATCAAGTTGAGAATAAAAAGGTACGACTTTCATCATGCAACTGCGACAACAAAAAACAATTTCAGCAATGAGGTCCGACCACACAGAACTCTTTAGAGACAGTAATTAACCTAATAGTTATGCTTCTGGACCATGGGAGGAAGTTGGAGTACCCAAAGAGAGCCCACCATGCACAGGGAGAACATGCTAATCCTAACTAGAAAGAACTCAATCTGGGATTTGAGACCAGGAACTTCTTCCATAAAGAGAACAGAACTAACAATTGTGGGACATAGCAATAACAATCCATCCATCCATCCAGAGGTCATTGGGTGAGGGGTGAGGGCAGAGTACATCCTGAAAAGGTTACGGTCAATCAAAGGAAACAAAGAAACACAGGACAAACAACCGCATATGCGTGCACTCATCATACCAAAGGACAATGATATTATAACCAGTCAACCAGTTTACATATCAGTCATGTTTCTGAACTGTGAGGACACTGGAGTACCTGGAGAGAACATACAGACGCTCCACAGAAAGATCCCAGGGTGGGATTTGAACTCAATACCTTCTTGTTGGAAGGCAACAATGTGGTACTGTGCAGCCCCAGCAATCAACATGAAGCCTTACTCTTGCCGTCTTGACAAGAGTAAGAGGTAGGAGTTTTATCAATACCTCAATGGATTATGACACAAATGCTGAGGTTACCACTCTTAAGTTACTTTGCCATGCTGCTGCAATTCCACGGTTATAACATCAGTTTCAGGGTCTGAATCCAACAAAATATGAAAATGCTTGAACCATATCCTTAAACCTACGTAAGCACTTCTGCATCATTCATCATAACCTTATTCATATAAGGTTAGTAGAATTTTTAAGGACACGTAAAGGTGAATAAGTAGATAAGTACGGTTATCTAAGTTTGCAGAAACTTCTACATTCACTCTGAGACGAATCACTTCCTTGCTATACGCGCTGAGCTATGAAATGTCTTTTTTTTTTCTTTCCTCTTGGCTAATGGCCTAGGAGGCTGGCTTTGAGCATCATGGGAGCAGATCAGTCTGGGTTAAGCCCTTGCAACCAACTGTTCAAAGCCCTATTTGCACGGTTTGCTTCTCGGCAGCTGAACCGCCTCTCGAGTTATTCAGATTTAAAGGAATGACGCCATTCCTGCTCTGATCTCGAGAAAAACCTTTTAAACCCCCAACCCCCGCATGCAACAACGCTCGGATTATTATACCCTGTAAAAGAACGAGATCACATCCTCGGTTAATGTTAAGCCAAAAAGTTCTTGTTATCGACTTTCTGTCCGACTTTGACCAAACAAGAGATTAGTTTGGTCTTACCTGCAGCAACACCGCAATATGACTTAGGACATGACCGGGTAGGTTTGATGATTGCGCTGTAAGCAGGATAATAGGAATCTCTCTTAGGATTATAGTGGCCAATTAAGAGATGAACAGGATCATCACTCGTTGCCGTTCTGTGATTACAGTTGCTTCCAATTAGTATTTGTAGACGACAAAATACATAAATGGTGTTCTACACAACACTGATGTTAAATCTGCATACCTTCCTACAGAGCTTATTATTATTATTGTTGTATTTGAACTTTTTCAGTCCATTACAGTTTATTTACAAAGCTGTGAAATGATTTCCCAAGACCACCGATGTGTAGTCAGTTGAACTCTTAACATCAACCAGAGAAATCAATCTTTATATACAAATGACCGTGTTCCTGCTGCCTACTCAGTTCTCCTGACTGGAAATAATTAGAAAGTGCTGTTCAAGAACATGAAAGCCTTGCCAAGGCAGCCTCAGGTGAACCTTGGTGCTAAGGACACTGTTCCACTGTCGTGCTGGAACGAACCAGTAGGAAACTGGGCCATCTATATATGGACCTGCCTCTGATTATGAACGGATTATGCAACTGCACATCATGCTTTACGTAAGCGCTTTGAGCTATGCTCTCTTTTTCTGCAGCTTTTGTTCCCAAACCAGGCGGTTCGTTTGCCCCATCTGCCCACCTGACATGGAAACAAGCGCACAGTCCAACCCAGACACCCCCCGTCTCGTGCCTGTACTGGTTTTGCCCCCAAATTAAAGCTCATGCTCCAGTTCCCCGATTTAAAGGAATGACATAGACTGCGTGTGAAACAGTGGCGCCTCGGCTGCAGTTATGAAAAGCCATTAGTTGCATGGAAAAAGAATTCACTGACGAAAACAACATGTGACTTCCCAGATCCCCAAGTCCTGTGACAGCAAGACTGAAAAGACATCATTAGATAT